TTTGCCAGTAAGATTTAGCAACTAGATACAATTCCTTTTTAATTTCACTGATAATATTTTTGCAGAAATTAGCTTGGCCACTGGAGGGCTCTCACAGCCTCTCGTTAATGCTATGTAAAAATGATTTGCCAAGGTTGTGAGAATGAACCTTACAAAATACCGATAGCACAACTGATACACTCCTTTTCAAAAGTAATCAGCAACACATAGCAAAATAATTTAAATATGTATATTCTTTCCTCCAGCTTCTAAAATCTAAGAAAATTTATTATTAAAGTGTTCATTTTTCAATTTACATTTCAATTAAGTGTTCAAATAAAAAGTAGCTGTTATAAAATATTAATTTCAAAATACAAATTGCTAAATTTTATTTCAAAACACCTGTACAATTGGAGACTGGTTTTAAAATATATATAAATATATTTGGAAAATATACACAGAAATGTTAATAAGCAGTTCCTTTGGGTAATGAGACTGAGGACTTTTTTTCTTTTGTTCTTTAGGCATTTTCCAGTTTTCCATAATGAACACGAGTTCATTTTATAATTTAAAATTTTTTAATGTTTTTTAATTTAAAATATTTTCCATATTTTAAAATATTTATTATTATAAGGGTCTATAAAGAGTACTCATACCCTTCCTCTCTGAAATCAATAAAAAAAAATTTTTTTAAGCTGAAAATAACAGAACAATTGATTTTTTTCAAAAAAAGAGTACTCATGTCCCTATACACAGTAGGGCCATTCTGATTGTTATGTCACCATCTCATTGGCAGTCCTCTTCACCTTCAACATAGTTCAACCCCTTTAGGGTCCCAGATCATACAGGCCTTTTATGACACAACTCCCACAGCAACCCCTCCCCCCTCCATTGTGCAGCCCACTACCCTAAAGCAATGTCCACAGCTGTCATGATGAACTTCTAGGTAGTTCCTCATAGAAAAACGCCACTCTTTCTCATTCCCTATGCTTTCCACCTGCCCTATATCCTCAGGAAATGACTGTCTCCACCCAGCTACTTTCCAATCACCCAAAATTAATTAGCCCAAGAACTTCCTATGACAAGATTTTCCTGTGTCTTCCTATAAAGTTCTGAAGGGTTCCCACGGTGCCTTAGGCATGCTTTTCTCAAAACATGAATTACCCAAATTGTACTGTTTAGTTTCTCATTTAATTGGGTGAATTGTTTTCTCGGATAGTATTATCTTGCATTCATTACTTAGCCTCCAACCTATCCTCGTGCAGTTCCTTCTGCCTATAATGCTTCCCAATAATTTCCCCTCCCCACAGCTCACATCTCTCAGAGTTCTGTTTTGGTGTCATTTAGAACAGGATCACAGCTAGCCCTTCAAGTTGAGCTAGATGGACTCTTCATATTCCCCTACTACTGTATTTGCAGAGAAAGACTGGCTATTTTGGCTCATGTAGAATGTCACTGCTTTCCTGTGCCAGGTTTTAAAAAAAACTTTTTTAAAAAAAAAAAAAAAAAAAAAAAAAAAACTTAGTCATGCTGCTTGAAATAATCTGTTCAGGTGTCTGGGAGTTTTTCAAAGACAGAAACTTGTGCTTGACATTCTGGTAAGTCCAGTTTCTAGCTGAGTGTCAGTGTCAGGCCAGGGCAAATAGTAATCATTGTCATTGGAGCTAAACACCTTCCCGTAAAGCTTGCCAAACTGAAGTTCTAGCTTTAAGGTCGAAAACTCTGGATCTGGTCTGGTGCAGAGCCGCTGGTCCCGGGAAACAGGGTGCAGCTGAAATGGGAGCCGCCCCTCCCGGTCATGGTCATGCCACACTTGTTCATGCCACAGGGAGCCTGGCACGAAGCCATTCCTAGACGGCCTGCTTCTGGGCGGGGTAGCGGCAGAGCAGCTTCCTCACTGCCAACTATTGACACTGCCAACTATTGGCACTGCCAACTACTGAAAGTCAGTCCTCGACACAAATGTCAAAAGAATTTTTTTAATTAAAAAAGAAGAGTAAGATAATAATAATAAAGGATAAAAGAAAACAGTACGAAAAAAGGAGAAAGAACAAAATTGACAAAACTTTAGTTAGAATGACTAACACACAAGACTCAAATAAAAAAATAAAAATGGGTAATTTCTACCAGTTGTACAGAAACAAAAAGAACTTTAAGAGAATACTATAAACAAGGATATACCATCAAACTAGATAACTTTGATGAACAAATTCTTAGAAACACAGAATCTATCAGAAGCAACTTAGGAAGACAATCTGGATAACCCTATCACTAGTAAGGAGAGTACATCAATAAGCAAAAACCTCCCAACAAAGAAAAGCCTAGGACCAGATGGCCTCACTAATTAGTTCTACCAAACAAAGAATAATTAACACCACTTTTTCTCAAACTCTTCCAATAATCAAAGCAAAGAGAATACTTTCTAACTAATTCTACGAGGCCAGGAGTATTCCAATATCAAGACCAAAGACACTACAAACAGAAAAACTTGACAAAACTACAGACTAATATCCCTTATGACTATTGATGCAAAAAAAAAAACTCAACAAAAACCTAACAAACCGAATTCAACAGCATATTATACGATATATAAATATTATATGTCAAATGTATTTCAATTAAATAATAGCATTTGACAAAATTCAATACTCTTTAATGATAAAAATACTTCTTCAATGTGATAAATAGGTCATATGAAAAACCAAGCTATGAATATGAGAGGTCTATTTATTTATGTCTTCTTTAATTTCTTTCAGCAGTGTTTTGTAGTTTTTAGTGTACAAATCTTTCTCCACCTTGGTCAATTTTATTTAAAACATATAGCTGATATCAGACTCAGTGGTGAAAAGCCGAAAGCTTTCCTTATAAGAGCAGGGAAAAAAAAAAAGCAGACATTCTATTACCACTTCTATTCAACATAGTATTAGAGGTTCTAGCTAGAGCAATTAGGCAAAAAAGAAATTAAAAGCATCCAAATTGAAAAGGAAGAAAATTATCTGTTTGCAGATGATGTGATCTTATATGTAAAAAACCTTAAAGATTTCACACACACCAAAAAGAAACTGTCAGAGCTAATGAATGAATTCAGCAAAGTTCCAGGACACAAAATCAACATGTAAAAATCAATTGCATTTGCTACTTACTAGCAATGAACAATCTAAAATGGAAATTAACAAAACAATTCCAGCCCAGCCTGTGTGGCTCAGTGGTTGAGCATTGACCTATGAACCAGGAAGTCACAGTTCGGTTCCTGGTCAGGGCACATGCCCAGGTTTTGGGGCTTGATCCCCAGAAGAGGGCATGCAGAAGCAGCTGAACAATGATTCTCTCTCATCATTTTTGTTTCTATCTCGCTTCCTCTCCCTTCCTTTCACTAAAATAAATAAAAACATATTGTTTTAAAAAATAACTCCATTCACAATACATCAAACAAAAAAATACTTAAGAATAAGTTCAAACAAGGTGGAGAAAGATTTGCAGACTAAAAACTACAAAATACTCCTGAAAGAAATTAAAGAAGACATAAAGAAATAGACCTCTCATGCTCATAGGTTGGAACCCAATATTAAGATGACAATTCTAGCCCTGGCTGGTGTGGTTCATTGGTCGAAGCATCATCCTGTGCACCCTAAGAGGTCATGGGTTTGATTCCACGTCGGGGGCACACATCCAGGTTGTGGGTTGAAACCCCGATCAGGTGAGTGGGGGAGGCAGCCAATCGATGTTTCTCTCTCCCCGTCTCTCTCTTCCTGTCTAAAATCAATAAAAGCGTATCTTTGGGTGAGGATTAAAAAAATAAAAGACAATTCTATATAGAGTGATCCACAGATTCAAGGCAATCCCTATCAGAATCCCAATGGTGTTTTTTGTAAAAGTAGAAAAACCCACATTAAATTTATATGGACTCTCAAGGGACCCCCAAATAGCCAAAACAATCTTTAAAAAGAACAAATTTGGAAGACTCACATTTCATTTCCAAACTTATTACGAAGCTACCATAGTCAAAATAGTGTGGTATTGGCATAAGGACAGCAGACAGCCCAGAAAAAAGTCAGACACAAAATGAAAAATATTTTATGATTCCACTTGTATAAGGCATCTAGAATAGGCAAATTCAGGGGCAGAAAATAGAATTGGGCTATTAAAAGCTGGGGCGTAAAGATGAATACGGAGTTATTTCAGATAATGAAAAAGTTCTGGAAATTGTGGTGATAGTTACATAGCATTGTGGATGTACTTACTGCCACTGAATTATACACTTTATTTTGTCACAGAAAAAAAAAGGGGGGGGGTAAGGTCTGGTAATCAGACTTTAAGATGGCCAGCAATGATCCCTAATTCCTGGACTTCATGCCCTTGTGGAAGTCCCTCCAATTGAGTATAGGCTGGACTTAAATGACTCACTTCTAACAAATGGGATAAGGCAAAAGGAACAGTCTGTGACTTAAGGGTCTATGTCATCAAAGGTTGTGACATCACTCTCTCTCCTTTGTAACACTCATTTGGGGGAAGCCATCACCATGTTATGAAGAGCTCCGTGGACAGGTCCACACAGTGAGGAACTAAGCGCCTGTCAATAGCCCTGGGAGTGTGAGCTTAGAAGCAGATCTCCACCTGTCCAGCACACAGGTGACTTCAGCCCAGGTAACATCATAACTGCACTCTTCTAAGAGCTACTGAACCATCACACTAACCTGCCCCTCAGATAATATGTGAGAGATACTTGTTGTTTCAAGCTGCTTAATTCTGTTATACAGGAATAGGTAACTAATACCAAAAGTGGGGGTAGAGGATATGGGGAAATCATTAAAGCAGGAGTCCATGCATCATGAAAGAGGATAATCACTAAAAGCTAGTATGTTCATGTGCTTTATATTTATATATTTTTAAAAGGTTTCTTAACTCAGTCACTTAGTGTGTAATGAATAATAGACTTTAAAGTAAAAAAAAAAGAAGAAGAAAATGTCAATTTTTAAGGGATAGGCTTGCACAGGATACTAAAATGGCTTGAAACAGTTTTATTGGCATTAAAAATTTTTATTTGGAATTTAATCCACAATCTATACAAGTTATTTACAAGGCATGAAAATGGAAAACAGCACAAAATACAATTGAGGTATGTATAAGCTAAGAGCACAGTATGTCATGTTTCAATAAATATAATTCAAAATTTGTAAACTAAGTGACCAAATAGATGAGTCTTGTTTTATAGTAAAACCATATAAAATATCTATTTCACGTGAGGTAGAGGACAGTTTTGTGTCATGTAATACAACCAACCACAGCAATTTTAACCATAAAACTGTACATCATTGGCAAAATTTTATATTGAATTATGGTTAATGTAGTCATCAATTTGTTTCAACAGTTGCAGACAGGTATTTCATTTACTGCCTTCACAGATTTAAAATTCAGAAATAATTTAAGACTACAGTGTTGGCTTAATATTATCAGGATAAAGAAATACTTCTAACAGGATGGTTAAAAACAAGTATATTTTATTTCTCCCAAACTATAATCCCCCAAAAGGTGTCCTAGATTTAGTAATTTAGGTAGGACATTTTTACTAGAACTACTTTAAGTATGCTGTGCTTTATTTTCAAGTTGAGGTATCTATATTGAAGAAAATCTTGTAAATTTTACATTCAACTAATTTAATACACTTTTGTTTTCTGGGCTTAACTTTTAAATTTGTTATTACATTTGATCACTTTCTAATTCAAAAACAGTAGCACTATATAAGACATTTAATTATATTATTTAAAAAACAGGCCCCAATTGCATTATGTAGTTTAAAGCCATTTAAAATGGAAAGATTTTACAAACAAAACAAAAAGACTGTCCTTTTAAACAAGATGCAATATAGAATACCTATATAAATTTTCCCAACAGAAACGCACAAGTATTCTATACTAGAAAAAAATTAAGCTGCTTATTCAATCCCACAATATATAATACATCAGTAATGTGTCCCTTATTGCTGACAACTTCAATTAAAAACTATTAACAAGTAATTCCAAGCACAGAAATAGATGTATAGTCTGAGCACAGCTTTTCATTATATTATTTTTTAATGTCCTGTTGTGCAGATTAAATGCATAAAACCAAATAAAAATAAAGATTGTTCCCTAAACAATCACAACGTTAAGTCTTTTCGTAGAGAAGAAAATTTTAGAGCTGATCAAAAGCCTTCAACACCAGCTTTACAATTAATTTTAGGGAACTACCTTAAGCATGTTACTCATTTATCATTTTACTTTCCCTCAGAGGCCACAGATGTGCAAATAAATTGGTTGTTCTGACATGACTTCAAATAAATTAATAATCTGCAAATACTGTACTCAGTCTATTTCACCTACTTTAGTAATTGGTTTTTAATTCAATATGTACAAATGATTTATATTCCAACTGGTAATATATTAAATATGCTATAAAATTAGTTCAAGAAGCATGAAACATCCTAATTCTCATGAACACAGAAATTCAAGCAAAAGAATATGCTTTACAAAAATAAAGCACAAGCCAAACTTACGTTGTCAGTCAAATCCTTTCATAGTGTTTACAAGTGAATTTGTGAAATTAGGGTGGTTTTGAGCTTCCTCAATGACAGCAGATTTTACATTTACTACCTTTATAAATTTGGTACCTTTTCCTCATAGAGTACAGAAACTATCATCACCCAAATTAAACATCACCTACCACCCAGTAAGCTAATATCGTTCCCTTCCTTCTAAAGATGCTTTAGCACTTTTGATAGGCTGTTCCTTTAATGCAGCTTTTTAAAGTAATAATTTTTGTATTTTTCCTAGAGTATTATAAAATCTGAGGGAAAATCTGCTTGCCTAATGAATTAGCACGCAAAAACAACACCAAAACAAACTTTAAGATAGCAATCAACACACAAAATGAGCATGCAAAGAATAGAGTAAGTTTATATGGGCAAGGTAATTTAGCAGAGGCCACTTTTAAAGTATTACAAAATCTCTGTATTTTCAAGCTATGGGGTACAGTTTAACTTAAAATTACTTTTCACCAGAATAGGTACATTTACAATTGACTAAAAAACTGTATTCCAGAAAGTTAGACAGAAACCTATGGCAACATCAATGTATCTTGGGGAAAATGAAGACTACATGTGACAAGTTTTTATTATGTGAGGGACCAGAAAAAAATATTTCGCTCAATTTTAAATTAAGAGTTTATGATAATTTAAAGGTATTTAAGCACTATTTAGGATTTTTAAGTAACATATTTCAAAGATGAAGCAATTTAGAAGTTCTGGGTTGAAACTTAAGCTTATCATTTACTAAGTAGCATGAGTAGAAAGATTTTGACTGATTAGAATCAAAGAAAATTATAAGAGCTTAAGTTAAGTCACCCAAAAAGCTTAGCTGTGACACTAATTCACAACTAAAATTAAACTGTATCGTAGAATGTCTCTGTGATTTTTCTTTCTCCAATTTAAATAAAAAGTATTAGGAGGGTATGTCATTTTTAACACTGTTCTCGTATGTCATTTTTTAACATCTGTTCCTCCTTGAGGAGATTCCAAAAATCAACAAATTAAATTGCAGGATTAATACAGCAAAATTTAAATGGTAAATTGAAAATACACATTTAGTTCACACTAGTGAAAAAACTATACTTTCAGAATTATAAAATCCTTTTAGGATACATTAGTACCATTAAGTAAAATATGAAAATAACTGGTTAAATGATAACCTACTGATTTTTGAAGTTCTATACCATTAGAGTACCTATCATCTATGCTGGGAATAGTACATAACCCTAGCTAATTTATTTCAAAAATAGATTTAGCTCAAGTAATTTCATTCAGTACCTTAGGCAAGAACATGAGAAACATAAAATTCATGGGCTAATAATGTCAATTAATAGTAGCTTCAGAAAACTTCCTTAAAAAAATGCATACTAAAAATTTCACCTAATATCTCTTAAGCCAAGAATTAACTAATATGAACTTTGCCATTAAAAAAATGACACTTTTCTGTGCAAAAAGGAAAAAAAAAGTGCAGCTGTTGCTCCTCTCCTAAACTATAAGATTCCTACCTCCTAAAAATTATCTAAAAATCCTTTAGCAGATAACTAAACTTTCCTATATTAATCTATCACACACTCTATCAGTTGACTGTAAATTCCTGACTTTGATATTAAGTAGTAATTGAAATGGTCCATTTGTGCAAATTTTGATAAGACTTAACATTTAAACATACAAAAGTCCAAAATAACCTTTAAGACATTTAATATTTTACAACTTAAAGGAAAACAAAGGCAGTAAGGAAAACAAATCCATTATACAAATTTCAGTAAGCCCCATAACTACATATAAAAACTGTACAGGAAGATTATGGACTGTATAGAAATCAATGGTATCAGTTTTTCTCAAGAACAGTAACATTTCAACACCACTATTTAACAACATAAACATTTAACAAAGTTCAGAAATTTTTACATTTTATTCCCTCTCCTGAAGTTGCTGCATTAAAAAAAAAAATCTAAATATAACCATATTTAAAGCAAAAAAAAATTACAACTGTTTCTTGCGTTTAGCAGCAGGATTATAACAGAGCATATTATCCATCCCCATTATGCCCATGGGGTGTGCTATAACCTCATGAATGAAATTTTTCTTTTGACAAAATGTCTCTGAGGAGACATTAAGAAGAGAAATGAAGAAAATTCATTCCATAATAAGAACAAAATAAAAGCAAATTTTGTATATAATAATGAGTATAGCATTATCAACTTCAAAGGAGACTGTAATAATGAAAAAAGGAGATTCAACCCCTTGAATATCTCCATATATTTGAAATATGACAACCACTATTGTATCTAAAATTGAGTCTGAAATATGGATCACAAAATTCACAACTATTTTTCATCACACAATGCAGCTTTTAAAAAGTATACAACTGTTAAATTTGCATTAGAAATATAGGCAGATTATCTAATAGTTGAAACCATAGAGTTGTTACCGAGTTGTTTGGGAAAAAAAAGTACAAAGAAACATACATGTTCATTCATTTGGAAATGTAAAAATTTATGTACTAATATATAATCTCTCCACTTTCTCTGATCTACAAATGGATAGAATGCCTAGTTATCTTCATGCAAATAAGCAGTTCAGAATTCAATTACCAAAGCAAACAAACAAAAATAAACTCTGTCAGAAACACACAGATGAATCTCTTTAAAGGTTTCTATACTTTAGCAGTCTTTGATTTCAAAATCTGCAGCTTTAGCTCTTTTATCATCATCTCTAACTTCTGTCTTGCCTCCCGTTCCTGTCTGAGTTCATCTTGGAGCTCTTGCCTATCAGCCTCGGCATGGTCCAATCTCTGTCTTAGTTCTGCCAGCTGTGTGATTTAAAAGACTGTGTCAGTTTTCACTGTTTTGTGTTTCCACTTAATCCTCACATCATGGCAAAGATTGCCCTTCAAATTACTCTTTACAAAATGAACAATTTCATGCATATACAAACCTTGATTAGCTAATACTATTGCTCTGACATTGACTGAGGGAAAAACCAAGGGTAAGGAGGACTGAACACCTGGCGTACTTTCATTATGCCCTACACTTTAGCATACCTTTCATCATCACAGCCTGCCCATGTCAAGTATTATTGTTCATCTTCCCTAAGAAGTGAGCTACTATTCATTTTTGCTCCCGTGCTTTTGAACATAGTGGTCAACAGTTCATGTTTGTTAATTTTTTTATTGGAAAGCCAATATTTTAAAACAATGTAACACTTGATATTCAGATAGCTAGAAATTATCAATTTTGGCAACTACACTACAGAAACCCAATAAAAGTTTCAAGAAATAAATCAAGGTAAAAAAAAACCATCTTGGCCGAAACCGGTTTGGCTCAGTGGATAGAGCATCGGCCTGCGGACTGAAGGGTCCCAGGTTCGATTCTGGTCAAGGGCATGTGCCTGGGTTGCGGGCACATCCCTGGTGGGGGATGTGCAGGAGGCGGCTGATCGATGTTTCTCTCTCATCAATGTTTCTGACTCTCTGTCTCTCTCCCTTCCTCTCTGTAAAAAAAAAAAAAAAAAATCAATAAAATAAAAAAAAAATCATCTTGGATGATATCACATAAATTTGTGTTTTTGAACAGAATTTTAAGTTTTGAAATCCCAATGAGCTTGCCAAAAAATAATTTAACAGAGAAGGTAACAGCTTCAATTTCCACATTGAAAGGGCAACATTATTCAAACTGAGTAATTCTTACCTGTGCTGCATATTCAGCCTCGTTGTCTTTTTCTAAATTTGAGTCACAGGTACATTTTTGCTTCATTACCTGCTCTAATTTTTTCTCTAAGTCTTTCTGTTCAACATAAAATTCTTCCATTCTTTGAGCATGCTCATTCTGCAAAGATTCAAGCTCTTTCTGTAAATTCTGCTGTTCTTCAGTGAGTTCCTTCATTGCTTTTGAACTACTCAACATTTCAACTTCCTGTAATATACAAAATCACATTACAGTTTGTACTCATTTCCATCATGCTAAAAATTTCAACTCAAGAAAAAATACTACATAAAACATCTAAAATTCAGCTGTCATATCAATTCTATGTAGAGGTAATTATTTTGAAAAGCTTTTCTCTAAAAATTTAAAAGTATATTAAAATTGCTTATGAGTATAAAACAAAATAATTTATATATTATAAATAAATTTGCAGCATCTCATCTTGACTATTTTTAAGAATATGCAAAAGTATCTTCATTAGGGCTATTAGTTAGATAACAATTTTACCATCTCAAGTTGTTGCTTCTTCTGCAAAATTGAGTTCAATTTTTCCTGTTGTTTTACATAAGTTCTCATTACTTCTTCCATAATCTTTCCTTTATCATCTTCACAAATGACATCTTTGACAAGAAGTGGAGATGAAGCTGCTGCATCATGGTCAATTCCCGCCTTGCTTGTGTCTCTGATTATGTTACAAGTGGTAGACTCAGGTTTCTTTTTACTTACAGAGTTATTTGAGATTGATGGATCTTTAAGGGGCAAAAATAAAGTAACAAAGTATGAATATCACTCTGCTAAGTCAGTAGGACAATCCATAAATGAAATTAAGAAAAAAAACCCAGTTACAAATGAAATAAAAAAGAATAAAATACCTTGGAATAACTTCAACAAAGGAGTACAAGACTTCAAAAACGAAAATGACAAAACATTGAAATTAAAGACCTAAACAAACAGGAAGGCATCCCATGTTCATGGATTGGAAGACGTAATATTGTTAAGATGGTGTCATGAACTGAATGTTAGTGACCTCCACCCCGCTAGCCCAGCATTCATATTGAAATCCTAACCCCTGATGTAATGTTTTAGGAGATGGGACCTTTGGGAGATAATGATAAGGTCATCAGGGGAGAGCCACCATGACAGGATTTATGCCATCATAAGAGTCTCCAGAGAGCTCTCCCATCCTTTCCACCATGTGAGAACCCAGTGAGAAGATGGCTATCTGTGAATCAGAAAGTAGGGCCTTGCCAGGCACCAAATCTGCTGACCATAAACCTTCCAGCCTCCATGAAAAATAAGTGTTTGTGGAATAAGCTACCGAGCCTATGCTATTTTTATTATAGCAGCCCAAACAGACTAAGATAGCTGGTAATAACAAATTAATCTACTTTTTCAATGCAATATTTATCAAAATCCCAGTGGAAATGGACAAGCTGATTCTAAAATTTATATGGAAATGCAAGGAATCCAAAATAACCAAAATATCTTTAAAAAGAGTAACAAAGTAAGAATTCACAATTACCAATTTCAAGGCTTATTTGAGAGCTATGGAAATCAAGATGGTAAAAGAAGCCAGACAACAAAAGGCCTCATGTTGTATCATCCTTTTTATATGAAATGCTCAGGATAGGCAAATCCATAAAGATAGGAAATAGATTAGTGGTTGACAGGGGAGAATGGAGAGTTAACTGCCAATGGTTTATAGTTTCTTTTGGAGTAATGAAAATGTTCAAATTTAAATAGTTGTGATCATTGCACAACTTTGTGAATTTACTAAGTCACTGAACTAACTGTACATGTTAAAAGTGTAAATTTAAGGTAAATGAATTATATCTCAATAACTTTTTAACAATCGCTAGAATTCACTAATTTGGAAAATATAATGCAAATAGAGCATAATGGTACGCTAGTAATTATGTACCATATTTAAATCCAAAAGAACCTAAGTTTTAAAATTCTCAAAATTAAAGTACAGACCTCCCCCCCCCCCAAAAAAAGAATCTCAATTATGTATGAAAAGTTAAATGACTACAGATTCTTCAACGGCTCCCACAAAGCTGAAATAACTGTCACATTTCCCTAAGCTATAAGCAAAGCTCTGCTGCTACATGGAGGGTAACGAGGCAGCATTTGAGTGAACATATCTTGTTTGGTCCAGTGTTATAAAAGGCACTGTAACTAGGCAGCTCTTTTTTAGATGTCCAGCCAACATTCTGCATTTGTGCCATCTGCCTGGCTCCCACAGCTACAAGTTTTCAATCCTTCCTTATTCCATGACTAAGTTTCCCTGAGTCCTATACCTAAATACACTTACATATACTTCTTGGTATTATAAGTTAAATGGCTTCTCAGTTCACAGAAAATTAAAAAGAAAAATAAGGACCTTTCAAAGAAATTTGACAGCAAAAAGGCAGGAAGGGGGAAAAATAATCAGACAAAAGTCACTTGCAAGCATGAAGCTGTGTAACCTATATATCTATCTCATTAGCCACTATAGCTATCACCATTCTAGAAAAGTACAGCAATTGATGTTCTAAGAAGTCACTCAACATTTTTTACAATAAAAACCTCAATTATCTGAAAAAGTCCCTTAAACAGAAATCCTCTTTGAAAAATCAAATACCCAACACTTTTTTAATATGGAATTTAAATATAGAAATACTTACCTAAATGTCTACGTAATTCTCTACTTGTTTTTAAATCCATTTTCTCCTGTTCCTCCAGTGAGACTTCTGGATAAGACACTGTTTTTTGATGTCTTCCACTACTGTAAGGCTTCTCTGGCTGTCTTGGTATGGATTTTCCTGCCTCTGTCTTTGTGACCTCTTTAGACTGGGATACAGCAGAAGTGAGTGACACATTTGGGGCAACCACTTTATCACACATGTATAAGTAGTAGCTGAAAACAAAGAAAGGCATAATAAGACACATTACATTTAGGTAAAAAGCGAAATGTGTTACATCTATTTCTATGGTTAAACAATTTTTTTCCACCAAAACAGACAACATAACAACTAAGAAAATAAAGGTCACAGAAAAGAATTCTTTAAAAAGTCAGTATTTTAGGCAGTAAAAGCAAAATCATGGAGAGATTTTTGTTATTTTGCAAAAAATAATTTCTAAGCACTAAAAGGACACTCACTAAAGAAGAAAATCACCATTTCTTCTCCTCCCCGCAAAACCACCTGCGATCTAAGAGCACGGAGCACTTTCACAGCCATTCACAACCCCAAGTAGATAAGGTTTATTCAGAAAGAAAGCACCATATGCTATTTCGGAGGACTGTTTTCTTGCCCATCACTCCTCTAAAGCAACAAACCCTTGTTCTTTGTTATGGTGAGGCTGATTCAGCCCTACACTTCTTGGCTCTGGCCTGTTTCACCACAGACCAACGGGGAGCTCCCAGGGCCCTTCCATCTTAAACAGCTCAGAGAGAGAACAGGCATTCTGAATGTATCAAACCCAACAGAGCTATCTTCTAAAATACTTTTGTACTTCCTATGTATTTGATAAAACAGTAACAGTAAATTATGCAAAACTAAGATCAAAGGGATATATCTACCAATTTTGCTCGAAGTTTGCATAAAATTGTTCAGTACATTATCTGAGAGACTCATGGAATAGAGATGAGCTAGATATTTAAGTATCATATTATTAACTACAATCTTTATGACCTTTAGCCAAAAGATGCAACCATTTAACTGACATACTTTAATCTCTAAACCAAGCATGTCAAACTCAAAGGCATCACGGGCCAAATAAACAAGGTTTACGTTTATGTGGGCCACAAAGAAACAAAAGCTTCAATTTTCATGGAAACGTAGGTTTATTTCGGTAGAGACATGCTTACTACAAAGGGCCGAAATGAGTAATTGTTAACATAAAATAATAGGACATTTTAATAAAAATTAATATTTTTGTTTGAACATTAACTTACCAGACACTGAATAACTGCACAAATTAATAAGCGTAACTCAAATAAACCTATTTTTCTTGTTCTCCAAAAGCGAAATATTTTCTGTTGCACACACCAAACAAGTCAGTCAGTACAAGACTAATGACATGGCAATCGGCTGCTAAAATATCACTGCCAGTATTCGTGGAGAGAAATGGTGCGCCTGCGCGTGAGGCGCGTAAGGGAAATGAATGCAACGCAATTATAATAATCAGTCATTAGCGAACATTGTAGTTCGTTAATAAGTATATATATTGTAAAAATTTAGTTATGAAATTTTTATTAAAACACTTCTTACATATTGTTATTTTGGCTGGGCTGCAAAAATATTCGTTGTGGACCGCATGCAGCCCGCTGGCCGCAAGTCTGACATGCTTGCTCTAAATTCTAAATAATTTCTTACATCTCATTGTATAGGACACATCTATTTTGTTTTTTTTACCAATTACATTAATTCTGAGGATGGAAATTTAACATTCTGCTAAGAAAACTGACAGGTTTAATACTACCCAAAGATTTCAAACGCAGTAAGAACATAGGAATTGTGCAAATGAAAGTAAGACTAAGATTCTTCATCACCATGCTTGTGGAGAATACTAGTATATATTTATAGTAGCAGATAAAACTTTAGGACTGAATAAATTAAGGAGCATTCTTATTGAAAATATGAAAACTTTACTTTGAGGGGTGCGGTTATTATGAAAGCATCTAAGTTTCAAAAAGATTTATTTTTAAAAATCAAAGTTACACACCAAACTTTTGAAGAGTGATTTACCTCTTGAAGAAAGGTAAGGAAATTAAAAGAAAACTTTTGTTTTTACTTAAGGACAAAAATGAAAAGACCTATTTCTAGAAAAAAAACATAGAAACCCAAGAAAGGTTATTTTGGACCTAGCTGGGTAACTCGGTTAGAATATCATCCTGATACGTCAAGGTTGCAGGTTCGATCTCCAGTCAGGGCACATGCAAGAAGCAACCAATGAATGCATAAAAAGTGGAATAACACATCAATGTTTCTCTCTTTCTCTTCCCCTCTCTCACTAAAATAAGTAAGTAAAAAATTTTAAAAGGTTAATATAAATGTTCAACACAATTTACAATTCATTTCATTTATTAACAAGAAAGCCTAAAGCTATATCATGAATTCCCAGGGTCTAGAATAGTATCTGACATATAGAGGGAGGGAGTAAGGAAGGGGGGGAGTAAGGGAGGAGGAGAGAAGGGAGAAAGGGAAGAAGGAAGGGTTAACGAGACAATACTCACCTAGGGTGTAAAAATGAATGTGTCTGAGAAACATGATCACTTTCCTGTTTTATAATAGGATACCATGACGGTAATTCCATTCCTGATGGTGTATCTATCTGTAGAAAAATGTAGAAGGGAAGATTATTGAAAGGTGTGATGGTTAAAATTTTAAAGTGTCAACGTGACAGGGTCATAGCGTGTCTCTGGAGAACCTTGCAAAAGAAGAGTTACATTAACAGTCATCTTCTAATAAAGCAATCTTTCCTTAAAGTACCATGCCTGGTCACCTAAACTCAGAGACTGCTACGTGATCCACTGCAAACAGTTTCAGTGTGCATGTTAACAGGGATTACCAGAAGTGATTTCATCCAATTTCATACTTACAACATCTATTTTAAAAATCCATTTTAGCCCTGGCTGGGTGGCTCAGTTGGTTAGAGCACCATTCCATATACCAAAAGGTTATAGTATGGGCTCCATCCCCAATACAGTGAGTACAGAAGGCAACCAATGTTTCTGTCTCTCCCTCTTCCTCTTTCTACCTCTCTCCCTTCCTCCCTAAAATCAATAAACATACCCTTTGATGAGGATTTTTAAAACTTTAAAACCCATTTTAAATAACAGTACCCTGCAAATGTACAGAATTGGTAAGTTATGATTATTCTTCACTGCTACAACCAGCTAGAATATAACCCATCCGTATCCATACAGTATTTGTTAGTGTATAGGTAACATTCTACGTAATAAATACCTTGCCAAACTAAACGTGAAATTATTTTGTCTGCCAACACCTATCAGTAAACTGTATTTCCTCATAAACTGTATCTGTAAATAAAGGGAAAGGAGAATATAACTGATGACTTATTGTGTATCTACCTGATAAGAAATACACACACACACACACACACACACACATTTCTTAGACAGATAGAGATAGAGATAGAGATAGAGATAGAGATAGAGATAGAGATAGAGATAGAGATAGAGATAGAGGGAGCGAGAGATATAGAGATATAGATATATAGATACACACACACATATACATATGCATCCTGCTTAGTTCCAACAAATACCTCATTAAGTAGATATTATTATCTCTATTTCACAGATTAGAAAACTGAGGTTCAGAAACTGAGACAGAAAAGAATAACCTATGTTATTAATTTCTCTCTTATCCGGTTTGCTTTGTAGTCTTCCCTCCCTATTTAATATTACAGTAATTACCCTGCTCTTTGGGGAAAAAGGTTCCTTGAAAGGGAGCAAGACTCACTAACAGAGAAGAGGAAAAGGAGCTGAAAGAAGCCCTGGTTCAAGTGAGCAACAAAGATAGGAGACAAACCTAGTGGAGTGAGGGAGAAGGAAGCTGGGGATGAAATACAGAAGGAAGGATGAGACAAAAAGGAGAGCTGGGTATTCTGACCCTGCCTAGTTAATTCTGCAACTAGGTAATGTATGTGGAGAATGACACCCTCATTTGAGAATGCATAAACACAACAGTGAGGAAATAGCCACTAAATACCAAGAATTAGGAAAACTGTTATGCCTGACATCCTAATATTCCAGTTCAGAACCAAGAAAGTAAGTAAGGAACGGAAACATCTCCAGATGCTAAGCAGCTGTGATTAAAGCATAACCAAATTCATAAATTGTCCATGGTTTGGTTAGGAAGATCCTGCTAATAGAGGAAACCAAAGCAGATTGAAGAGACTCAGGAAAGGAAAGGCCTGACAAGTAACCCACTGCCCCAACACAACTAGCTCAGAACAAAAAGGAAACAGCTTTTGGAGCACACATTATACAACTTGACCAATTAAAAGACGACTTAAGGCCAATTAAAAGCCAAAAACAAAAAATACAGTGATTTGTATTGGCAGATCAACATTTTTGTTAAGAATTACTGGGCGGTTCAGTTGGTTGGGCATCATCCCATGCATCGAAAGGTTGCCGGTTTGATTCCCAGTCAGGGCACATGCCCGGGTTTCAGAATCGATCCCGGGGGGGAGGGGGGGGCACGGAGGAGGCACCTGATCCATGTTTCTTTCTCACCATCAACATGTATTTCTCTCTCTCCATATCCCTTCCTCTCTCTAAAAATCAATGTAAAAATCTTTTTAAAAAAATAATAATTATTACTGGGCAAGGAATTTGAAAGACTAAGACCATAAGATCATAGGGAAAAGAATGGTTATTTTGAAAGGATTTCAGAGTTACGCATTCACTGAGGGCCTCTAGACTCTATATAAGAGTAGAATTTTTTTTTTAAAACCCACAATCCTGATCAAATATTCTAAAAAAGTTCAGAATCTGAGGCAGAATATACTGCTTATTAATAAAGTAAGCCAATCACTTCTTTACAGTTTCTTGGCCTACAGCTTAGTTCTACTAGTAAGTCAGAAAGGGAATCAACTGCTGGCAACAGAAATACTAAATGATAGATGCCTGGTGACAGCTGACAGCCCAAAGAGATGAATTACAACATAATGCAAACATAAAAACTATCCAAAAAGCAATGCAATTTGAGGGCTTTACCATAGGCCAGGGCAAATAATTTAATGTATCTCAATTGTCCATTACCCTCATCACAACAGAGTATAATAACTGATGTTTACGAAGTCTTGAGTCAACATGACATAGTTAAATTATATTTTATATCTTATACATACATATATATGTATACATATGTATGTGTAAGATATAAAATGTATATGTATATGTATATATGTAAGTGTGTATATACACATACACACACATACTAGAAGCCCATTGCAGGAGGATTCCTGCAAGAATAGGGCTTCCTTGGGCCAATCGCACAGCCAAGCCCCGCCTGCCTAGGGCCGCACACGGGGGTCCCAGCTGGTGGCAGGGCTTAAGCAGCACACGGGGGGCCCGGATGGCGGCTCGCACTGGCCTGCCCGGCCTGCAGTATGCAAATTAGCCTCCATCTTTGTTGGCGGCTAATTTGCATATCGTGCTGATTAGCCAATTGGAGGCGTAGCGAAGGTACGGTCAATTACCATGTTTGTCTATTATTAGATAGGATATGCCTAAGTGACCATTACGACCAAACAACGGGTCGACCAGTCACTATGATGCACACTGACCACCACAGAGGGAGCGCCGCTCAGCTAGAAGCCAGGCTCACGGCTGGAGAGCGCAGCTGCAGCAGCAGGAGCCTCTCCCAACGTCACGGCAGCGCTACTAAGCAGTGGCCACAGGCGCAAGCAGGCTGGGATGAGCGCAAGCAACGTGCCAGCTTGGGCTCCTCCCTGGATGCCTACCACTAGTATGCAAATTGTCCCCTTGATCAGGAGTTTCACTGGGAGTGGGCCAGCCGGCCAACTGCCTGCAGCTCCCCACCCCCTCCATCCAACCCTCCCCAGCCGGTGGCAGCAGCAGGCAGCCGGGAGATGGGAGGCCCCAGCCAGCAGCTGCTAGGGACCCTACCCATGCACGAATTTCATGTACTCGGACTCTAGTGAAAAAATATCCTCAGGTGAGTACTAGCAAAAAAAAAAAAAGAGATTTTCTTCTCTAGAAGTCACTTGTTAAACTCATTATTTAGAAAATAAAGGAAGCTCTGTTCCACTTTTATATTTGAAACAATCTTGGATGTACTGCTCAAGAAATCAACTGTTACCAGACTTTTTAAATTAAGATTACTAAAATTGATTTACATATTCAAAAATTTTCCTATTATGGGTATCTGGAATCTCCAATCTTCAGAAAAGCAAATTCTAAACTTTTTCAGCCAAAGATCTTGACTTGAAACCTAACTCAATTTTGATCATTTCAAAACTCTACAGCTTGATTTGTATACATTTTACTTTTATTCATGACCCAAACTCAGTTTATCTTTATTTCTATGATGTCTCTACACTTCAGATGCCACCTTAAGTAATTGTTTGTGCATTCATATACAAGGTGGGGCAAATTCAGGTTTACAGTTGTTCATATGGGAAATAATACAAGAATTTAGGTATTACAATACCTAAATACAAGAATTACAGGTATACTCACAACTATAAACCTACTTTTGCCCTACCCTGTATTTTTAAACATCCATCCCTTTCTAGTTTCTGTTCTTAGCCTCAAAGACTGTCTTATTTGATTTCCCATTCTCATACAATCTCACAAACTAGCGGTTCTAAAAAAAAATCTTCCTTAAAGATCACCTAGTGCAGTCCCCTAGCCAATGTCTGAACTCCCTATTCAAAATCCCTCATATCCAGTCTCTGCTTGGTCCAGTCCTTGAGGCGAAGGACTGTCTTATTTACTCTTCTATTTCAGTACGTAGCACCATGCCTGGCATGTAGTAGGGATTCAATAAATATTTGTTGAATGAATTCTGAATGACAATGTAGCTCACTAACTTCCAGGGTGGCCCTATAATAAGGTTACTCTGCTACCAAGAAATTCACAAATAGTCCCTTTCACATTCTATATCCTACTCGATGAAGTACCAAAGAAGCCAAAGGTCTCTGGGATGTATTTTTAGAGATCAGATCTACAAATTAAATAATATAAATGATGGGAAAATGGACATTAACCATAATAAAATGTTGGGAATTAATTTTCTCTAATATGCTGTGATAAGCCATAAACACATTTGTAACAAATTATCCTAACTGCGTGTTAAAAATAATTAAGAAAAGCACATATTATACAACAGAACATTCACAGTCATGCCAGATTTTTTCATCTATTCTGCATTTGTTTCAACATACAAATTAGATCTTCAAAAAAAGAACAATATAATTAAATGTCACAGCAGTAATGCTACTACTGATTAGCAATAAAAATTGAGATACCAAGAGAGGAGCATCTACTGCCACTTATCTTACCTTTCAATATAGGAATAATTCATTCCTTTGTGTATTTAAACATTAAAATAGAATACATTACACTACTTAGCAAAGGAGAGATGTACATCATTTAGAGCTTAACTTGAAGCCCTAACAGTTTTAAATGTTTTTATCACCCAACTTCCCCACCATTATCTACCATAAAATGAACAGATGGCATCCTTACCTGAAACACATAAGAAAAATTTCAGACAATTTATTTCATTCTAAAGGTTCTTTTTCTCTAAGTCATAAAACAACCAATGATATCTATG